CACAGTATGAATGTGTAGCTATTGGTTTGGAATTAGTGCTGCTGGCTGTAGAAGAGCTATTTGCTTTTCAATGTACAGTAAGGGCCAATAAGGTCTTCTGTGCCAATGCATATACACAACTGTGTCTACCAGGCTGTAGCATTAATGAGGCTACTTTCACAAGTGTTGCTCTTGTGTGAGGTCTAGCTGAATGAAGGGAAATGCTGAATTAATGAAAAACATTTGTTGTATATTAACCCAATCTTATCTAATGTCTTATTGGTGTTACATTCAGAGACTTTGGCGTTCTCCTCTCGATTAAAGGCATTTTCAGACTTCGTCCTAAATACAAGTCCACAGCTTTGACCAATTCTTCCATACATGCTGTGGACCACACTAGGGTTCACTAGAAGCTGTTTTTAGGAGGTTCAGTTCTCTGTACCTGCACAGTACCTCTATTTCGAACAGTGCAGACCCTTCTTACAATGCATTACAGCATTTATGTTTAGTGTTTTTACGATAAAATAATGTGTTATGAAACCTGACATTATGAAGCAAGTGAATATGATTTTATAAAAAGTGTTATGCATGTAATTATACTTATAGGCAATTTTACAGGCTTGTGCCAGGCATTTAGAAAGTATTACACGTGGCATATAACACATTAAAATTTCACTTATTTATTTTATTTTTAGTTTATCCCTAATTTTCAACCCCAATTTAGTCGTCTCCAATTCCACACGCTAGTTAGGACTCCCCCAATCACACGATACCACCAGCGCTAAGAGGGCGAAGGCTAACAGAGGCTTCCTCCGAGCCCCGCTGAAGCGCCACCGCATCTTTTCGAACTGCTGCTAATGCAATGTCATTGGACAGCCGGACGAGCTTGGAGGCTGCCAGATGTGTTATGTCAGGCGCCTGCGCTGACTAGCATCACCCATCATGTCAGGCGCCTGCGCTGATTAGCATCACCCTGAGTGATGGGGAGAGGCGGGGCCATCCTACCCACCCAGAGAGCGAGTCCAATTGTGCTGTTTTGGTCTCTCAGCCATGGATGGCTGTAGCATCACCAGGGATTGAACTCACGATCTCTTAGGCTCAAAAACAGGTTTCCCACTCAATCAAACATACGTATCATGGTGGGCAGAATAAAATGAATCAGTATGTGAAATTCAGCTTTCTGTGTGCTATCCTGTTGCTATCACTGTATAAAAGAAGCTCCATGCTGTAGGCTTCAGCCAAATGACCATTCTATCATCAATCGGCAATAGTTTCCATCTGCTGCAACTGTCAATCGAGTTGGACCATTTAAACATGCCATCTAAGGCTTATTATATTTATATTTACATTATATTTGTCTCACACTCTGTTTTCTTTTAACAAGTTTTCTTTTAATGTGTACCACAAGTCCCTGTCCAGAATCAGCCCTTGTATGTTGACTGGCTTTAAAACATTCTGTGGCAGTGTGAGGTAGTGTGTGGTTTTTTTGTTTTTTTTTTTGTCTTACAGGTAATTCAACTGATAAAGCCGTGCTGCAGCCTAACACATACAGCTTCCCTCATGAAACATGAATAGAAAATTAAATTATTTTTGTGTTGTGATTATATCAGTTATTAAAAGCAAAAAAGACAATAGCTGTTAGGTCAGGGGTGTCCAGTCTTATCCACAAAGGGCCAATGTGGCTGCAGGTTTTCACTCCAAACAAGCTGAAGCACACCTGACTGCACTTGTCTAGTCAATTGGTTTCACTCTTAAAACAACTGATCAGGTGTGCTTCTGTTTTGCTGGAATGAAAACCTGCAGCCGCACCGGACCTTTGTGGATAAGACTGGACGCTCTTGCTTCAGTTTTTAGCTTTATTATTTAAGCAAGAAGTAATTTTATAGGATGTAAGTAAACATGTGACTTATTAAATTAATTAGAATAATTCAATTAACTAGCAAGAACTGCCAAAACATAGATTTTAGATATGGTCTGGTAGTTCTTGCTAGTTAATTGAATGAATCTAATTATTTTAATAAACCACATTTACTCTTTACTCCGCTCTCAGATGGCCTGCTGGTGGCACAGGAAAGCGCCTCTTATTGTGATGTTTTTTTGTGTTTTTTGGTAGAAATATACTCTGAGAATTCCACTTTGTTTGGCAGGATTTCTGTGATATTAGACTAATGACAACAAATGGAAACCTCAGATGCGTCGGAGACAGTGAGAGATGTATGAAGTGTACAGACAGACGCAGATGTGAGAAGACAGAGTAGGAGTTTTAATTATATGTTCTCTTAGTGTGTGCAGTCTGGGAAAAAATGTATTATGAAACATGAAAGGAAGAGGAAGTGCCTGGGGCTGGCTGACAAACCCTGCTGAAAATACACTCCATTCTCTCGTTCACACTCTCATTCCCTCGCTCTCTGCATGTGCAGAAGACAAAAGGAGTGGGTCTGGAGCTCGTACATCAAAGTAGCATGCGTGAGGCCCAAAGCAGTTATTATGCATAGAGTACAGCTGGAAGCACACGCATGGTTATAACATGGCACTCATAACTCAATCTGAAACCCATTCCACTTTATTCTACTGCTGCTGCTCTGTGTGTGTGTGTGTGTGTGTGTGTGTGTGTGTGTGTGTGTTTTCATACATTTTCAAGACGAAAATGTCCTGACTTTGAAAGAAAAAGGAAGAAACAAACAAGACTAACTTGCAGGACACAGGACCAACAATCAGATGTCCTGACTTTGTAAAGTGCTTTTTAACAAAAGCTCTATATTAATTTTTTTTTATAGTGAAAGTACAACAGTTCTTTTTAGCTGCTGAAATTATGATTAGGGCTTTAGGTTAAACAGTAGTTTAGGATTAGCCTTAGAAAATTGTCATTACAATAATACTGTCATTGTCATTAAATAATAAAATCTATAAAACGTACTTTGACCAGGGGCAACCAGACTTCTGCACATGGCTGGACATGCAGTACTGGGCACAATTCAGAGATCACCCTTCATTTTTCAGCATCAGGAAAAATCAGGAACCACATTTAACAGAAAACAGCACAAAAGCCTCCAACACTAATATCCCATCTGGCAGTATTAAATGTGTCCGCCCTTTACTTTGTGCACCTGCTGCCATTTTCACTCTTCCATTCTTCCAATCTGAAAACCAACCAGTTACAGCTGCATCCTCCCAACAAAAGCTGCTCCCAAAGGATCCACAGACACTAACATTCACACAAGCAATTACCCAAACTCACCTTAACTGCATTCACAGTTCTGACTCATCTCTATCTAAAATGGCTGAAGGAGACATTTCTAAGGAGATAATGTATCTAAGATAATCCATTTGGATATAGAAGGAAAGAGTTAAAGGACAGTGAAAAGTGAAAAGTTTCCTAAAATGGAGTTTGAAAATGATCAAAAGATACAGATAAAATGGGACCCCTAACAACTGAGCCAAACCTGGTTAGACCACCAAAACTGTCCCCATCAGATAAACAGTATTTTTGGGAAAAATTCCCTGCAGATTTCTTTGAAAACCTGAAAGCAAGTGTCCTGAAAATACTACACACACACACACACACACACACACACACACACACACACACACACACACACACATTGTGCGATAACACACAACCTTGAGTGTTCTCTTGCTTTTAAACAACAGTTAAATAAATAAAGTAAGAAATAAATAAATTGAGTCGTGAACGTGGAATTTAATGTTTTAATGTTCGCAGTTCCTTCCGCCAAATTATAGTGCCTTCACAAGCAGCTTGTTGCTACGTCAGAGTAACGAACTCCGCTCACTCACTGCGCAGCCGGCGGTTCATTCTCCAGCTCCTTACACTAAACTCTGAAACTGTCTTTACCTCTGAGCAGCTTTTCAGTCGGCAGCTGTGACAGAAGAACAACTAAACAACCTGGAATTGGCCAGAAATGAACCGAATACCATTCGCCAAATGTGTAGTCTGATCTTCAGAGTCTGACCAAATCGGACTGAGCCGTAAAACTGCCGCAATATCAAGTTTAGCTCAGTGTTGTCATCTTTTGCTACATCAATATTAATGTTTTGTTCCAGCCAGTCTGTAAAGCGTCTTACAGCCCATTTTGTTTGGTGAATGGTATTGGGTTGATTTCTGGCCAATTCCAGTTCGTTTAGGTGTTCTTCTGTCACAGCTGCTGACTGAAAAGCTTGCTCAGTGGTGATGACAGTTTGAGAATTTAGTGTAATCTCATCTTTAGAGTCTGACCATATATATCTTCAATATGAGTAATATATCTAATATTTCTCTTTATAAAGTTATTGTATAACTAACGCGAGACATTTTTGCTTATTTTACATGATCTTGTGAAATGAAAATATCTCACTGCACTGGCATTTACTGCATTAATGCATTTTGCTTGCTTTGCAAAATACGTCTTGAAGGAAGTGAAATTATCTGCCAGGGCAGTAAAGATAATTTCACTGGATAAGGTCACTTTAGAAGTAAGACATGTCTAGAAATAGGCTGAATAATCCTGTAATATTCTTAAGACAATCTCATAATGAGAAATATTAGATGTGTTGCCAGCATTTGTGTTTTTTTTTTCCCCTACTTCCTGTGATATTTCTGCTGCGTGTGAGAGAGAGTGCTGAAAAAGGAGACTTCTATGAGAAGAGAGAGAACAGAGAGAGCCGAAACTGATCATTACTCAAACAGAGGTAGATACAGAATGAGGACTAGGTTGAAAGAGAACATGAAAACAGAAGTACTCAAATGTGATCTTGTTAGTGAAGAAGAGCGAGGTAAGCAGGCGAGGAGCTCTCCGCAGAACTCAGGATTTCAGAGAAAAAGCTTCATTAACACTGAGCTTGTGGAATAATAATCACAAATAGACTCGAGTCATCAGTGTGTGACATGGCCTTAATCACTGCAAGCTCACTTTCAGAGAGAGAGCAGTTGAAAGTAGAGGTGGGCCCTATGGAAGAGATGTAATGATGTCACAATACCTGAAAGAAGAAGAAGAAGAAGAAGAAAGAAAGGAAATGATTGTTACCTGTGGTCTCCACTATGCCCTCTAAGATAACGACGATCTCAAACTGTTCGTTCATTAGCGATCGCTGGGACAGATCGAAGAAGGGGCTTTTGGGATTGATCTCGTGGCAGATGGTCAGAGGAGAGACGAGGAAGAGCTGGTCAGCTCCCGTCCCAAAACCAACGTCAAGCTCACACTGATCCAGCGGTAAGAACTCACCCTCGGGGGTCTGACGAGACTGAGAAAAGAGAGAAGAGAAAGAGGTCATCATCATCATCATCATCATCGTCATCATCAGAGTAACATAATACAAAAATAAAAAGTGCAAAAAAAAGTCAGTTTTAGAAAAGCAACTATTTATAACTGCTACAGTAAAATCAGAGAGAGAGAGAGAGAGAATGAAAAAGAGAGTGCATAAGAGAAATAAAGAAAAGAAATGAGAGAGAGCAAGAGAGAAAAGAGAAGATCATCATCATTATATAATTGGAACATAAAAACCAAAAGCTCAAAAATTAGAAAGAGAGAGAGAAAGACAGAATGAAAAAGAGTGCATGAGAGACATAAAGAGAAGGAATGAGAGAAAGAGCAAGAGAGAAAAAAGAGAAGGAGAGAGAGAGACCATTATCATCAGATAAATGGAACATAAACCTAAAACTCAAAAAGGACAGAGAGAGAGAATGAAAGAGTCCATAAGAAAAAGAAAACGAGAGAAAGAGTGAGAGAAAAGAGAAAGAGATCACCATCATCAGATTAATGGGACATAAAACTAAAACTAAAACCTCAAAAAGGAGAAAAGGAGAGCGAGAGAGAGAGAGAGAATGAAAAAGAGTGCATGAAAGGAATAAAGAAAAGAAATAAGAGAAAGACCAAGAGAGAAACAAGAAGGAGAAGGAAACAGATCATTATCATCTTCATCATCAGATTAATGGGACATAAAACAAAAACTAAAAGAGAGAGAGAGAGAGAGAGAGAGAGAGAGAGAGAGCCTTCTCAGTTCCCCTGAGTGAGTAAATGTCTTTCCCACAGCACATTTCTTTGACTGTGCTGGCATGTGATGGGCGTAACATGTGCACTCATGGTGGAAAAGTGTAAAGGGAAAATGGAGCAGAGAGAGAGATAAAGAGAGATAGAGAGAGAGAGTGCACCTGGCATGAAGTGCACAAAGCAGAGATCCAATCGTGCGCTCAGCGTGGTGAACGACAGTGGAAAGAACAGAACAGGCAGAAAGGATGACTGAAAGATAAACTGATCTACAGATGTCACTGTTTACACCAGTGTAGAGTGCATGGCTCTGTCAATGGACACGTCACAATACAGAGATCACAGTACACATGCATTTATAAGCTTTTGTGAGCCCCTCACAGCCAGTACAGTATAACCACCCTGTACATTATAACCACCCAGTACAATACCATACGCCATGACCAATAAAATAAAGAGTTTATAGATAAAAGACAACAAAAAAACAATCAACCAAAGTCAATAAAAACACAAGTTTATTAATACATATGAATACATTATTTGTGTACTTAAAAACTGCTTAGTGAGCAAAAATTGCTGAGTCAACAAAAAATATATTTCAGTGCACTGCTCTATTAATATTTTGAGCATATTCTTCATCTACTTTTCCTTCAGACGTTTAGCAGATGTTCATTCTCTGCCACGACTTCACATTCTCTGCTTCCTTTCTTCAAGCTGAGTGCTTCTCTCAAGGCCACTACAGCAGGGGCTGACCCCTGGTCTCTGAAAAAGCACTCATCCATCTCTGTATCCATCCATCCATCCATTCTTTAAGGAAAAAAGCAAGAATAAGCCAAGCAAGGTCAGCAGAGAAGCTGAACTTTGACCTCTGTTCTTTGATCTAGCCACAGTCCAGGATTGTGGTTGGTGATTTAGTTTCTATTGCAATTTAGAACATGTGAAGCTTTAAAGAGACATTTTTGGAAAAAAAGGGTCAAAGATTTGTCTATTTTTCACCCATTTATCCCAAGTGTGGTCAGTCAGTAAAAACATATATGGTGTCTGAAGTTTCCTTCCTTAGTTTTGCACTAGAGGTACAAGGCTGATGTAGTAAGTAATGGAAATGTGTGGCCACCAATTAGCATTTCCTCATGCTTTCCTCAAACTGTGTCGAGTTTTATTAATCTCAAATAGACTTGCTCATGTGGTTTCTGACACTGTATAACACTGTTATATCTGGAAACGGACAAAAGTACAGACAAAATTCAGCCCGCTAACTTTTTTAGCTCTGGAGTTAAAGTAGGCTACATCTGCTAATTCACCAACCTTTACATTCTGGCGCTTTATGCACCATTTAAGGTGGAATGGGAAATTGAGTTGAATGTTGAGATGTTTTACAAGAAACTGTTTTACTTTTGAGGAAAAGTTTTCTGCCGGAGATGCGAGAAAAGCCGCTACAGCTGAGCTAAAGTTTAAGCAGAGTTTATATTTTTGGCCTATACTAGTAGCATATACTGAGACATATTTACAGCCAAGATGGTAAAATGGACGCTGTGGCTGCCATGGTGGTTTTATTTTTGTTGAAAGGACAAAATGGCTCATCTTAACATTTGGGTTGCGACCCCTGGTCTAGTTACTAGTCACTGCTGTACAACACTGTACAAACCTCACCTCTCCTGATGCTGCTGCACAGAATGGAACAGCATTTAATCACAGTATTTAATCACAGCCATTGCTTCACCTGCCTTTCCCCTTTTCTGTGTTTTAATATTTTACACTAATGGTAGAACCTTATTCTCCATTCATATTGCTCTTGTGTTATTGTTTTGCTATCCAGCATCGACCAGAGGAGGATGGGTTCCCCTTTTGGGACTTGGTTCCTCTCAAAGTTTCCTCCTCTTGCTTTTAGGGAGATTGTCACTCTTGTCACTGTCCCCATTGGCTTGCTCATGGGGACTCGGACCCGGATTCTCTTATAAAGCTGCCTGCTGTAAAAACACTATATAAATAAACTTTGACTTGACTACTATAACAACTGACAACACACCACATTTGGTATTGGCTAATTAACCAGAGGCCTACCTTTTACAGCACTACAAGCAGATCAAGTCAAGAGATTGGCTGAAGACTGTGACGTTCTCATCATTTTACTACAGTGAACTCACTAGCTAGTAGTCTATGCTAGGAACACAGCACAAGTTCCCACAATCCAAACAGTCGAGCAGAGTAATGCTGTGTTTACATGTTGCCATTAAAAAAAAAAAAAGTTCCATGCCTCACAGCAGAGTTGGTATAAAATATCAACGGTGTGTAACCAACAACTGTATGCAACCAATGGAAGAGCTTGCTTTGTTGTATCAACCTGAATACCACAGAGAAGAAAATACTGTTTCATAAATGCAACCATTTTAATCCCAACTAAAACTTAACAATGAAAAAAGAGTATTAACAGAATACTTGCAGGATTTAAATATAACATGCATGATTACAGTTAAAATTCACAGAAATTGTTACAAAATATAATTAATCTCATGCTCTGATTAAACAAAAGCAATACTTGTACCTTTTTCCACCGTAAACCAAGAAAATTGACAGCCTTTTTTAATTATTATTATTTTTTTATTTATTTATTTTTTTACACTGCTATATACTGATATTGGTTAGGACTTCAGGAGCTGAACTGAAGGCCTTAATTGTCACATTAACCATTAGTAAAATTACATAGTGACAGGAATAAACCAATAATATTTTGATTTCCATAATGGTCTTTAACAAGATTGAAATTAAACATGAAATGTATTTTACAAGCTTTGACAGCCAAAAATTCTTCATTTGCACTACCGTTAACCTTAAGCACCAAGATTACAGAATTAATTACAAATCCCATTAGGGTGCGCTATCGCACCAGTGGGCCTTTGACACAGTTTGACTAAATTATAGCTCTATCTTTTACAAATTCATTACAAATCTCATTGAGCTGCCATTAGCTTAGTGCACTTGCACACTTCTAGTATTGCCTAGGGGCACTCGCAGAAAATAGCATTATCACAAAAGTGTTTAATTTGTGGCCTGAACTGAAGGTCTAGCACTAATAGTCATGGTTTACCACTGGATTTGGGATGAAGGGAAAATTGTGTGAAGGCCTTTACACCCAGAACGTTATTTATTGTGCTATTTATTCAGATAAATCAATTTGAATAAATTAACAGAACATTAATTTGAACGTCAACTCACTGACTAATCACTATCATCTCAGGTGTTGGCATGGTGACAACCAAGATGGTCAGCTGTGTCCCAGCAACTAGAACTAGAACGTCTGGCAAACATTGAAAGGATTATAAAAGGATTAGTCTGTCAAACCGTGTTACAGTGAGCTATAAGCAAAAGCTTTCTTAAAGGTCCAGCTATTGATTGAGACGGTGAGGAGCAAAGAATATCTGTGTCAGAAAAAAAGTTGCATCGTGTCCAGTGTGTATAATTTTGATGCGGACAAAAATCACATCCTAATATTTGGCATTTTCACGCCATTTATTCTCTTCGACTCTCATTCAGTACTTTATAATAATGTGTTGTTAATTTTAATACTGTTGTGATGTATTACTCTGAGGATTACGTTCGCCTCCTCTAATCTGCATGTTCAGAATCAGGCATGAATATTAACAGGGTAATTTAGAATGTGTAGCTTCCTATAGAGTTCGATGTCAGATGTTCTTGCTGTGCACATCCCCATGGGGTTTGTGTGTGTGTGTGCGTGTGTGTGTGTGTGTGCGGCAGTAGAGGCTGGGAAGTGTGTGTACACTGTTTGGACAGGCCACGTCCCCTATACAGCCGTACACTCAGGCAGAAACATTTAATAGCCCTCACACAGACACACCGTGACACACACAAACTCTCCCTCTCTGCTCCGACGTCTTCCTGTTTATTTACTTCAGCATCTCTCCTTACTGCCTTTCTCTCTGTAACAAAGACACACTGTTGAAAGAGAAAAAGAAACGGCAATGACAGACAGCAGAATTTGAAGAAATGCCAAAGCCATGAGGAAATGCCAACACAACCCCCCACCTCGCGCTCTCACTCCGGCGCGCTTTCTGTGTCTATGAATTAATAGGATGAGACAGCGTGGTGCCACTGTGTTTGTGTGCATGAGCACCACTTTCTCTCTGATGGGATTAAATTACATTAGATTATCACAATGCTCTATATAATCTAGATTACTACTCCTTAAACACATTAATCTGGGAATACACACACACACACGCACTTAGATCTATTATCACT